AGGGTAGAAAGCAATAAAAAGGGAAAAGAACTCACGGGGGGATCAGGAGCTCTGGTTCTAGCTCAGAGTTTGCTATAAATGGCTCTTTGACTTTGGAAAGTCTCATGGGTCAGTGTATTCATTAGCCAGAGAATGATGGCACAGATTATTTCTGAAGACCACTTATGTTCTATAGATCCCATGGTTCTCAACAGGAGGCAAATAAGAACAACAGGAGCGGAAACCAAAAAGAGGTTGAGAAAACCCAACCGATGAACGTGGGGTTAACATTCAGCTGATTGAGGAGGCGCGTGTGTGTCAAAGTTGATGAGAACAAGGAAGAGAGAAGCAGAATAAAGAAGACAGGCCCTAAGAATTCAGTGTCCTTCCTTAAAAAATGAGAGTATCAGGCAAGCCCCGGGAGATAAGGCCCACACTTTTCCAAGCCAGTTGTTACCCTGATGGTGTTGCCAAGTGATTGTTTAGGGTTAGAGTGGTCCGCCACACTAACTCAGTCTGCCAAGTTAGAGGAGCCGCCAGAAGACCCTTTGCTTCCTGAGTTGGCTTCTCTTGTTTATCTGCTTTCACTCGCTATTTTATTATTCGAAAGGAGCCCAAACTTGGGGCCTTCACATTTAATACCTCTCTTAACTCGTTACTAAAATTCTGATGTTATTGGATTACTAAGGAATTCTACCAATCTACTTCTCCTTTCAAAAAAGTAAACTTCTCATCATGAAGCCTGTTTCCTCCATCATCGGAAGCATGTCATAGATCTACATGAGTCATCATGAAAGTTTTAAGATACCCAAAAATCAAGAAAAATAAAATCTAAGCAGACAGAAACCAATGAAGCCCTCCCAGGGACACCAGCCCCTGTGAAACTGGCACGGATAAATCACAAAGGACACTGGCTGCTGTGTTTCTTGGAAGCAAAATAATGAACCATAACACAGTCTGTCTTAAAACTTTCATAATGACCTAACTACATTTACTTAAACTTTCATAATGACCTACTTACATTTACTCATCTACATAAATGATCCCACCTGGCTTTGCCATGTGAAGCCATTTTTGAAAATCAAACTATATCATACTAAAGTATATTTGACATATCTCTTAAAAAAAATTGAGGGGTGGCGCCTAAGGCTCAAAAGGGTAGGGCGCCGGTCCCATATGCCGGAGGTGGCAGGTTCAAACCCAACCCAGGCCAAAAACTGAAAAAAAAAAAAAAATTGAACCAGGCATAGTGGCTCATGTCTGTAATCCTGGCAGTTTGGGAGGCTGAAGTGGGAGGATCACTGAAACACAGGAATTGGAGGCTGTAGGGGCTATGATCGTGGTAATGCATTTCAGCCCAGGCAGCAGAGCAAGACCCTCTCTCTAGAAATAAGTAAATTAAGTTTTTCTTTAATGCATTCCCCCTTACAGAAATCAATTTGCTTCCCTGGAAAAACATTGTATTCAAGTGCAGCTTTCGCTGTTCTGGTCTTCATTCCCTTCTCCAGACCTTTTGCTGGTCTGTCCAATATAGGAAAAGTCCAGGCATTAGAACGGCCAGCCACAGATTTGCCTTAAGGCTAAAGAAGCTTAGGCTTCAGGACCCCTTCCTTGCACAGAGCCCCTTCCAGTGCTCTGGGAAAGGCCTGAGCAATTTTACTCTCATAATTCATATTTTCTTAGAGAAGGGCTTGCAGTTGTGTGCATGTCAGGTCCCACAAAACGTGGTTGCACCTCAGTGACGTCCTAGTTGTAATTAAGCTTTCTTTCCTGTTAAGGAGGGATGCTTGTCTGGCCATCTGATGGATAAGATAAGATAAGTACATTATTATCCCCAGGCTAGTGTATAAAATCATTAAGACAAAATCTGAAGACGATACGGCTCGTCCTATAATGGCAGATCCCCGAGTGATACTTAAGCTCATTGAAGATGTGAGGGCTCCCTTTGCTCTGTAAAAAATACAGAACGTGTCTGTGGGTGTGCAGTCCACTGTACGTGGAATATGATTCCAGAAGTGTAACGTCTAGTTGATGATTCGAGAAAAATTCTACAGGCCACATTCGACTGAGGCTTCAAGAGGTCCCCTCTGTGTAACGCAGACAGGCCACTCGTTATCTTCCCATTAGGGTTGAGGACAAGGAAGTTCCTGGTGAAATGTGTGGCAGGCAAGTGGACTTGCTTGTGATCTAAAATGTAGTGAATTGGTTGCAAAGAAAGGCAGACTGTGCCTGGGGGTCCCTCGACAGTTGGACAGAACCAGGTGGAGGTGAAGGAATCTTTGCAGGCTCCAGAAATGCAGTAAAAACAGTATAATCTGATAGGAGCAGGGAAAACCCAAAAACCCCACCTGGTGTTCCTCGGCGTGTGGGGACCCAGAACTCTCTGCCAGCTCACCGCTTTTCAGAACGCTGAAGAGATTGAAAACAAACTGGAGGAGTTTGGCATGACGGTGGGGTGCTGATTCCTCTCTCTGTCCTTGAGCGTTTACTGCCAGGAAATCCTGACCAACGTCGATTGCCAAGGGGTTAAAGTCACATTGTTGTTAAATTGGGAGAGAAAATTAGCAGGATTTTGTGCCCTATGCTCAACTATCACCGAGTTTCAAAAACAGGAACCTGGGGCTTCGTATGAGGGGACAGGGGAAGTAGAGGGGAAGAGTCACAGGGCGATTTATCAGGGCACAGTTCCAGATAAATGCTTACATGGAGGTGAAAGAATTTTATGTATATGTTCTGTGCCAAGAAGCCAAGGGGTTGAGCAGAAGCTCTTCTGAGAACTGAAGGGAGCAGCCCGGGGTCCAGTGAAGAGGCGATGGCGTCACGCTCGTGTCACTGCTCCTGCACGTGCTGCTAGTCTAGTCCGGTGTCCATACCGTCACATCCCCGTAGCAGAAAGGAAAGCCAATATTTCACGAATGTAAATTATAATACACCTATAAAACACCCGAGAGACAAAAACCACATTTTCTCGAGGTTCTGTGAAACCGTCATTATCTATTCACGTTTTTCTCCTGATTAGAATCTCACATTCTGGGAAATACAGGAAATTTTAATGGCCGTGACTGGCTCTGCCTTTCTTTTTTCTCCCATTAATAATACCGATCCTGGCTCAGCGCCTGTGGCTCAAGCGGCTAAGGCACCAGCCACATACACCTAAGGTGGCGGGTTCGAATCCCCAGCCCGGG